CTCTCTGGAGAAACCTCTGGGGACGTGTGGGAAGCAGGAGAGAGCGAAGGAGAAAGCTAACCGAAGATATGGCTTCAGCCAAAGCCTGATCCCACAGGGCACTCTGAAGTGGGAATGGCACAGAGCCACGTGCACATACTACTGCACCTTGAGGCAAGGGTCCGGGCATTTGTATGTCCCTGTCCATCAGTAACTGGCTGTGAATCGTGTTCAGATGGAAGATGTAATCTCTCAGGTATTTCTGGGTAAACTAGCTCCTGTCATTGGAGGACACTTCTCAGGAACAGGAACATCTGTGAGCCATTAGCAGTCAGAGCTCACAGCAGTTGGCAGATGAGTACACTGGCTTCGTAAAGGGCATCTGGGCAGAGTACAAGCACCATCCACTGCAGCCTTGCTTCTTAAAGGGTGGTTCCTGGAACAGCAGCAGCCGCCTATTCTGAGAGCTTGTCAGAAATGCAGATTTCCAGTCCACCCCCAGCTCTATTGAATCAGAAACTCTGGGGTGTGACCCAAGACTCTGTTTCAACAGCCCTCCAGGTGATTTTGATGTAGCCAAAGTTTGAGAACCACTATACCGTAAGAGCCTATGGTAAGAAACCGTAAAACAAAGGATGAGGGGGGGATAAAGCCCCAGGAAAATAAGATACAAAACGTGTTGTAAAAGAAATTACACATGGTAATCTCAAAAAGAGCTTGAAGAAGAGATACAAGGATTTAAAGGGAAAAAATGATGACACAGAAGGTGAAACATGAGCCTGCAGAGTGAAGAAAGGAAATAAAAGAGAAAAAAACTTTTTCAGAGGTGAATCTTAAAAGCAATGAAGGCATGATGACGACGATGGCATTTGTGACCCTCCGAGTTCAATTAGAAAGACTGAACTCTGTCCAGATGTTTCAAGCAGAGAGAGACACGTAAGGGGACTTGGTGTCCAAGTATTGAAGAGGCTGGAAAAACAGACTGCATGTGACCCAGAGCTGAAACCCAGGAACCATGTGTACTGTGGGCCCGTGGAGGCACCTTGCTGCTTCTGGCAAGGTGCTAGAAGTCACCTGCCACCATGCTGGTGAAACCAAAGCTACTACCTACAGTGCATAGTCACCTGTCCTCACAGCCAGAAGTGGGATGATGGCTTCACCCATCCAGCCACCTCCTAATATCTCATCATTGCTCCCCAATGGCAGAATTTAACCAGAAAGTAGCTACCAGGGGAGCCTGGAAATGCAGTTTTTGGACTTCCTGCTTCCTGGAATACAGAAAAGAGAATGGAAGTGTAGGAATGGATAAGAACCAACACCACCTGGCACAATCAAATCCAACTTTAAAAAAAATCAGGATTAGAGGGAACAGCTGGCAAAAATAAATCACAACATGAAATAGAAAATAACAAAGATGGAAAAAATGGCCATAGAGAGATGATATTTATGAAAGAGAGGGAAATACAACATATCTGTGATTATAGGTGCTAAGTAAGAGAATAGGACAAATGTAACAGGAAAGATTCAAGGCAACAGAAGAAGACATCCCTGAAGTTAAAAATATATATAACAATAAATCTTGAGCTCCAGAGAAGATTTTGCTGTTTTGTTTCTGTTTGGATTTGAGACAGGGTCTCGCTGTCTTCCAGGTGGGCCTTAAACTTCTGGGCTCAAGCGATCTTTCGCCTCCTAAGTAACTGGGTCTATAGGTGCACAACACCACACCCAGCTTAAAAGAGGATATTGTGTTCCTGGAAAGTCAACACTGCAGTCTCTCTTGGTAGAGTTACTGAATGTCAAGTAAAAAGAATCTGTCAGGTTTCCTGGCAGAATAAAAGTGATACAAGTGCCAGGAGAAGTAAATTAGGCCGACCTCAGGCATCTCCTGCCAAAAAATAGTCTAGCAATGTTCATAAATCTGAGGCAGAGAACTGAAACACAAGAATCTGAAACCTACCCACATATCCTTCTGGCTTCAAAATGACAGACTGGTGTTCATCAGCATGCAAGGCCTCAGGGAATGGGGGACCCACATGTGCTTCTCAATGAAACTGCTGGTAACTCCACTGAGCTAAGGTGTTGGGCAGATTAGGTACTCTGGATCCCTCAATACAAATCTAGAAATGCTGGAGAAAATATCATAATCAACCTTTTAGAATTGATGGCTGAGTTTACCATAAATAAAAGAAAATATTCTGTGGCCAGGAATGAATTGTGAGCCCAGCTCCAGGGAGGTAGACAAGTGCTAAAATCATCAGCCACTCTGGGTGAGGCTGCCAATTCCTGGTAGTCAGAGCTTTCATTTCCTAGGCCTCCTACCAGGCATAGGAGGCAATATCTTGGTGTCCGAATGGAGCATAGGCTGCGAGTCCCCATGTTAAGGCAAGTACCACAAAAGGTATCACCCTCAGAGAAAGAGCAAAGTAGAAGGAAATCTTCCCTTCAAAAGCAGACAGACTGGGGCTGGGGTTGTGGCTTAGCGGTAGAGCACTCGCCTAGCATATGTGAGGCCCTGGGTTCAATCCTCAGCACCACATAAAAATACATAAATAAAATAAAGGTATCGTGTCCAACTACGACTAAAAAAAATTTTTTTCTTTTTTTTAAAAGCAGACAGACTGGGGATGGGAGTGTAGCTCAGTGGTAGAGCCTTTTATCTAGCGTGCACAGGGCCTTGAGTTCTATCCCTGGTACTGCAAAAAAGAAAGGAAAAAAAAAAGCAGATAGTGTTGTGTTGACTACACTCCTATCTGGACAGGACATATTAACAAGCTTGTTTGCATACCAGTGCTTTACAATACTAATAAGCAGAATGGGTTTATTTTTGTGATCCAGACTCAAAGAGGTCCCCTCTAAAGAAGAATCCTCTTCTCTGTCATCAATTAGAATTAAACCTAAACCTCAAGCAGGCCTTTGCAAATATTCTTTATCAACCTTTGTCCATGTCATTGTCTCCATTTGAAATGCTTCTCCCTGCCTGTGTTTTCCAGGCTTTTTCCAAATATGGAAGTACTAGGCATCCTTATAAACCCAGTGCAAGTGTCGCTAGCTCCACAAAGCCTTGCTTGAATTCACGCAGCTCGGAGGGATTGCTCTCCCCTCTCTGACCTCTGAACATTTACCTTCACCTCAGGCTAACATATCATATTGCATCTTGAATGGTTACTGTGGTGTCTGTGTGGCCCCCCAGGAGATTAAGCTGCTAGAGGACAATAGTTGTGCCTTCTCTGTCTTTGCATTACTCCACACACTGAATTAGTGCTCAATTCATGTCTGATGCATTAAATTGAAAATAATTGAACTGGAAACCCTGGGGTATTTTGTCATTCTAAAAACTCTTCAGTGCCAGCTCCTATCATTTGTTGAAAACCAGGAGGTTCTGATGCATTTATAGACATGCCGTGGAGGACCGTCTGAGAAGTGGTTCGGAAGTCTGTTGTCTCCTATGCCAGATTCTTCTGTGGAACTTAGCACTTAATCAGGACAGTGCTCAGTTCTGCTTCAGTCCCATCGATGTCACAGCTACTTGTTCTCAGTATAACTTCACAAACTCATGCCTGTGTTGGCTGGTTATCTGGACAGGATGGAGAATTTTTATTCAATGTCTCTTCTTTCCTTTCAATCCACAACCCCCAAAAAGGCAGCCCAAGAAGGGAGTTGCAGAATGACAACGATTCTCTTGGTAATATCCAACACTCCTGTGGCGTTTGCTCCAAGCCGGGCACAGTGTTTTACTCATGAGTCCTCTCTGGCAGGCACTACTGATGTCCCATTTTATACTTCAGGATACCAAGGCAGCCTAACCAAAGTAGAGAGCTAGCAGAAATAGAGCTAAGACTCTGGCCTTGACATCAGAAGTGGAGTTGGATTCCACTTGATTATTTACTACTTCTGAGAACTCACAAGTTACTCAACTCTGAGTCTTGATTTCCTCATCTAAAAAATGGGGATAATAATCTCTTTAGGATAGGAGAAATTAAATGAGAACACATTTAAAAGTGTCTGTGCTTGATAGATGATTAATAACAACTCTTTTTTAGTGGAATAAAATGGGTGAGCATAGTGACACACGCCTTTAGTCCCAGCTACTCAGGAGGCTGAGGTGTGAGCCCAATTAGAGGCCAACCTGAGCAGTAGCCAGACCCTATCTATGAAAAAAAAAAAAAAAGGGAAATAGCTAAATTAAAAAATATTAACATGAGGGGGCTGGGATTGTGGCTCAGCAGTAAAGCGCTTGCCTTGCACATGTGAGGCACTGGGTTTTATCCTTATCACCACATTAAAAATAATAATAATAAAAAAATAAAGATATTGTGTCCATTTACAATGGGGGGGGGTGGCTCATGCCTGTAATCTCAGTGGCTTGGGAGGCTGAGACAAGAGGATTGCAAATTCAAAGCCAGCCTCAGCAAAAAGTGAGGTGCTAAACAACTCAGTGAGACCCTGTCTCTAAATAAAACAAAAAATAGAGCTGGAGGTGTGGCTCAGTGGTCGAATACTCCTGAGTTCAATCCCTAGTATCAACCCCCCACCAAAAAAAAATTATCATGGGGTTGGATTTGTGGTTCAGTGGTAAAGTGCTTGCCTAGCGTGTACAAGGCACTGGGTTCAATTCTCAGCACCACATTAAAAAAAATAAATAAATAAAGGTCCATTGACAACTAAAAACATTTTTTTTTAAAAGAACATTTTTAAAAAATTAACATGGTAGCAACTAAGGCAGAGCCACAGAGAACGTGTTCTCATGCTGGCAAAATGCACCACCAAGTCCATCCTTTTGTCATGTTGTGACCAAAGTTTGATTCCAATGTGAAAAATTATTTCCCTCCAGCAGGATTTCATAAGACAGTAACGCATTTGACATGTAACACATAAAGACTGAGTATTCTTCCCACCAAATGGGGCCCCTCCAGCAAATGATATTTTTGCTGATCAGATTACATTGAGCTATAATAAAAGATAGTTCGGGCTCACCAAAATTGGAAAAGAAAATGTAAAGATCACACTGAAGCCATCCAAAATAGCTTGATATGTTTTAATTGTTCTGTATTAGCTTGCTGCATCTTAGAACATTTTTTAAAATCAAGTCACAGCTGTGGGTACTTTAGGCTGTGGCCATCATAAACAAATATGAAAAGAAGCAGAGTTAAAACAGATGAATTCTAGGGCTGGGTTGTGACTCATTGGTAGAATACTTGCCTAGCAGGTGTGAGGCACTGGGTTCAATTCTCGGCACCATGTATAAATGAATAAATAAAATAATGGTCCATTGACAACTAAAAAATATTTTTAAAAAACAGATGAATTCTAAAGGTTATCCATTAGTCTGATGTGATCTAACACAAATGACCATTCAGAGACTAGTGAAGAACTTGGGGAAACAATTTCAATTATGAGCTTCTGTGTAGCTGAATGATAGCTTTTGCCGGTGCTTATTGTCTGCTTTGGTCATGATCATAATGCTTTGGGGAAGTCAAAAATCCTCCTTATCACTCCTTGATAAGTGAAAATCGTGGAATATACCAGAGAACAGAGAGCCAGATTTCTGTGAAATATATTCAAAGATGGTAAAGTGAATACTCTCCTTTTCCTGGCAGAATTGGAGATGGTTACCATGGAAACTCACTCATCACCACCACTGACTGATTTAAATCTTTTGTCAAGGAACGAGTTATCCGGGTTATCATTTCTTCTCTTCCCATGCCCTCCCCTTCCAATTCCTCATCTCTCCCTAACAAGTGGAATTCTTCCTGTGCTTTGTTCTAAAAGCCAATTTGGTGTCTTAAATGATCAGTCCTATGAATGGCAGGTTTGGCCAAATGGACTTGCCTCACAGAAGGGGTACCATATTGAACCACTTGGTATTAGAGCAGCAAGGGAGACGCCACACTTCAGGAGTAAGCCAGTGGAGGGCGACTGCCATTTCACTAGAAGACATTGTGCGAAGAATGTGGTCTCCACTGAGGGAGCAGGGTGGAGTTGCATGATAACAATTCATTTGCCTGAACAGCTCAGGTGTTACTTCAGTTTCTCTATAAAAATTTGTGCTGGGCGAAATGGCACGTGCCTATAATCTGGGAGGCTAAGGCAGGAAGCTCACAAGCTAGAAGCCAGCCTGGGCAATTTAGTGAGAAATAAAATAAAAACCAAAAAGGGCTTGGGATGTGGCTCAATGGTAGAGCAACCCTGGGTTCAATTCCTAGTACTGGAAAAAAAAAAAGGGGGGGAAACAATTTGTCCTGATTGGGTGCTGTGACCTGCCCTCTCTAGCAGCAGTTGTTTGCTTAAATTTGAAAATTTAATTTTGAGCTAGTAGTTCAGCTGGGAACACAGGTCAAAGGTGAAGTCAGCTGGGCTGAGGGGAGAGCCAAGCCTGAGGAGTCCTTCTGTGGGTCACCTAGAGCTGGAGAATCTGTTCATGTTAACTGTGGAGCTTTTCCAGAACAGCACGAACTTCCTCTGGATGGTAGTTCCAAGGGCCAGGTTTACCCTGCAAGAGAAATGAATCAGGCATTGCTAGATTTCCAATCTGCAAGGAATATGTAGGTCTGGAGCTTGGTTGTAGATCTGGACTAAGATCTATGGTGGTGTTATCAGTACAGTGTGGCCAATGGCAGATTTGCACAACCATGAGGTGGATCAGATCATCCAGGGAAAGTGAGTGGCATGGCACCAACATTTAATGAAAAGACTGGATAGAGATAGAAGAAAACTAGAGGCAAAATGACAGAGTTTTAGGGGGAGAAAGGGATCTATACAAATAAACTTTTCTTCCCTCATTAGACCTTCAGACCTTTAGACTTTCCTTTCCTCTTCAGTCCCCACAGAAGCTCCACTCATTCGCATCAGAACCACCTCTGCCCCTCCAGTCCCCCTGCCCTAGGGATGCCCTCTACACTCCCTAGTCCTGGCCCCCACCATACCTCCCAACTATCCTGCTCCCTCCAGTCCATTCTTCACCCAGTAGCCAATGGTCTTCCTTCCTTCCTTGGTACTGGGGATTGAATGAACCCAGGGGTGCTTTGCCACTGAGTCACATCCCCAGCCCTTTTTATTTTTTATTTTGAGACAGGGTCTCTTACTAGTTGTTCAGGACCTTACTAAGTTGCTGAGGCTGGCCTTGAACTTGCAATCTCCTGTCTCGGCCTCCCGAGTCACTGGGGTCATAGGCATGTACCACTCCATCCAACAGCCAATGATCTTTCTAAAGAACCGATCTGATCATGCCTGTCTCCTACTCAAAATCTTCATATGGCTCTTCTTTGCCCTAAGATGAAAGCCGAACTCCTTGGTCCAGGATCAGACCCTGTAACCCAAGTGCCCCCAATTCTCTATTCATACCTACCCTATATTCCTCAGGGCCTTTGCCACCTGTCCTTATATTTGCAATGACCTTCACTCCCTGTGCTTACTTGACTGACTGCTTATGCATTTTTAAAATTTATTTTTAATAAATAGGGATCTATTCAAATAAACTTTTCTTCCCTCATTAGACAGAGACAGGCACTTGCTAAGTTGCCGAAGCTGGCTTTGAACTCACAATTCTCCTGCCTCAGCCTCCCTAGTCACTGGAATTACAGGCGTGCTTCACTTCATCCAACTGACTGCTTATGCTTTAAGGCCCACGCTTGCCACATCCTCTGACATATCCACCCTTCCTCAGGGTTGGAAAACCTGAAGTTTGAGAGCCAAGTCATTTCTGATAGCGCACATTCTTCACTTACAGATGGTCTGTGGCTGCTTCTTTGCTATAACAGCAAAACTGAATTGTTGGGGATTCAGGGTTATCTGGTCCACAAAGTAAAAAATATTGACTATCAAGGCCTTTACAGAAAAGGTTGCTGGTCCTTGCTGTGGAATCTCGGCATTAGGACATTGTATTACTACTCTTTTTTAAAAAAATATTTTTTAGATGTATGGACCTTTATTTTATTCCTTTATTTATATGTGGTGCTGAGAATTGAACCCAGTGCCTCACACATGCTAGGCAAGCCCTCTACCACTGAGCCACAGCCTCAGCCCCTGTATTACTACTCTTATTTGGGTCTTCCCAGACTGTGGGCAGCTTGAAGTAAGGCAGGGATCATTAAATTTGTTTTTGTGTTTCCAGGATTTGCACAGGACCTAACCCAGGGTAGGGACTCTGTGCCTAGCATCTTAGAACCATGTCTCAGGGAAGGGGCAAGGAAGAGGGACCTGCATCCTTGTATTGTGACCCTTAGGACATTGGGGTTCCATGTACAAGATGTTGCTTATTTCACCTGTATAAGTAGGGCCATGAGCAGAATAGCATCTAAGTAATTGGGTATCATCAGTTATCCAAGGCTGCAAATCCTTTCAGCAGCTCTAAACTTATTTCCTACTCTCAGAGACCAACACTGTCCAAGGAGCCAGAGGGTGTGCCAATGTGTTAGTTCCTGTTCCCTAGTAAGGCTGGAGACCATGAGGGGAAAACCATCACCAGGAAGCCTGGACTTGGTTCTCTGGTTGCATCCCTGCTTCAACATTTCCAGCTCCTATCCATAGAGTTGGCTCTCTTTGGGCTCCTACATCCTCTCCAGAGCCAGGCCTGCCTCAGTGATGAGCAGCTTCAGTCCTCCCTATATTGCTGCCTCTCACCCAGGTCAATTGAAATTAAAGCCTTGCCTAGTAACCTTGGGCAAGTCAGTTCCCCTCTCTGAGCATCAAAATAAAATGGAAACATCTTTTATCTCTTCTATATCCTAGTTGAAAATCAGAGTTGGGCCAGTTGTCTGGGTTCAGAAGGCAGCTAGTAGGATGCAGTTATGGTCCAAATGCCAGGGTTTGCCCAGCGCAGTGTTGCATACTTGTAATCCCAGCAGCTCAGGAGGCTGAAGCAGGAGGATAGCAAGCCAGCCTCAGCAATTTAGCGAGGCCCTAAGCAACTCAGTGAGACCCTGTCTCTAAACAAAATACAAGAAAAGGGCTGGGGGGCTGGGGCTATGGCTCAGTGGTAGAGCGCTTGCCTTGCACATGTGAGGCACTGGGTTGAATCCTCAGCACCACATAAAATAAACAAACAAAATAAAGATATTGTGTCCATGTATAACTAAAAAAAATATTTAAAGAAAGAAAGAAAAGGGCTGGGAATGTGGCTCAGGGGTTAAGTGCCCCCTGAGTTCAATCCCTGGTATGTATGTATAAATAAATAAATAAATAAATAACCCAGTCTGCTCATTTTGCAGAAGAAGAAACTGAATCTCCAGAAAGTAAAAGAATTTGCCCATGGTCACATGACTAGCAGTGATTTGAATCTAGGGTCTCCCTGATACAAAGCCCTCTTTTTGCCTTTGTCTTTTCTGGACCCTCTTGGCCCTCCCGGGGCCTCCTGCCCCTGGGTCACTACCTTGTAGAGGATCCTGCCCTCCTGGAGTACGTAGAGCCTCTCAGGCAGGGCTGCATAGAGCTGGCTGCTCTGGTTCTGCATGGTGTCCACCACCACAGGGCACTGGGGACTCTTGGCCAGCAGTATGTGGGCTGCCCGCAGGCGGTCCTGGAGGTTCTGATGAATCTTGATGTCCACATTATTCTTAAAAGCCCAGCCATCTGGAAAAGAAAGATTAGGCACTCAAGCTCTACACACAAGGCACCCAATTCCTGCAGGCTAAATACCACCCACTTTTAACAGAAGGTCCCAGGTAGAGGAGCCCTTGGTCATGATTTGGCCCAGTTTTCTCTTACAGGTCTATCTGCCAGGTTACATAGACAGTTTCTTATTGATCCAAAACTGAAGCCCTGGACTCCTGGCTTCCAGGCCTCAGCTCTTCAATGTGAGATAGTCCAATCAATAGAGAGCTTCTTCTTGATCTTTAGTGAGCATATATGTCACTCAGAGGCTTTGTTACAGGGAAATTCTGGTTCATCCTGTCTAGGGTATGACTGAGAGTCTAACCTGCTCCCAGAATGCAAGGCTTCTAATGCCTGGATCACACTTTGAGAGGCAGTGGTCTAGAACAGTGGTTATCTAAGTGTGTGGGCTCTAGACCAGCTACAGCAGCAGCATCTGGGAGCTTGTTAGTAATGCAGATTCTCAGGCCCCACCATAGACCAACCAGGGGTGGGACCCAGTGATCTGGGTTTTAACAGCCTTTCAGATGATTTGAATACACTAGTGCATTACAACTTGTTTAAAAAACTACTGCTCTGAATTAAAGCTATGCTGATATTTCATCTCCCTCTAGTCAGAATAGCAATCATCAAGAATACAAATAATAATGTTGGCAAGGATGTGGGGGAAAAGGTACATTTACACATTGCTGGTAGGACTGCAAATTGGTGCAACCACTCTGGAAGCAGTATGAAGATTCTTCAGAAAACCTGGACTGCAACCACCATTTGACCCAGTTAACCCATTCCTCTGGTTATGCCCAAAGGACTTAAAATCCACATACTATAAACATCCATGTTTATAGCAGAGCAATTTACAATAGCTAAACTATGGAACCAACCTAGGTGCCCTTCAACAAATGAATGGATAAAGAAAATGTGGTATATATATACAATGGAGTATTACTTAGCCATAAAGAAGAATGAAGTGATGGCATTTGCTGGTAAATGAATGAAACTGAAGACTATCATGCTAAGTGAAATAAGCTAATCCCCAAAACCAAAGGCCAAATGTTCTCTCTGATATGTGGAGACTATCACACAATTAGGGGGTGGGGGAAGAATAAAAGTTCACTGGATTAGACAAAAGGAAATGAGGGTGGGGAGGGTGAATGGGAATAGGAAAGACAATAGAATGAAGCGGACATAGCTTTCCTATGTTCATATATGAATACACGACCCGTTTAACTCCACATCTTGTACAACCACAAGGATGGGAAGTGATACTCCATGTATGTTCCAGTCCATGTCGAAATACACTCTACTGTCATGTATAACTAAAAAAAAAAAAATCAAATAAAAAAATAAAAACAAAACAAAAAGAACTACTACACTAGAGTTTAGAAAACTTTCCTCTCCTGATTATTCATAATCACAATGTTCTTTCCAAAATGCAAATCTGACCATGTCACTCTCCTCCTCAAATCTTTTGGTGCCTTCCTATCACCATCCAGATAGATCCCAGTCTCCTCAGTGTGGTCCTTGAGGCCTTCAGTGACCCAGCCTCTGCCCATCCCTCTAGTCTTCCTCCAGCTCTTTCCTCCAGGTAAATGGGTGAGGTACTTGGATTCCTCGACCCCCACCCCAGGCTGTCTCTGACCTTTGCTCTTTTTGTTACAGTAGGTGTCTCCACCTCAGTGTGAGCAGAGTGGAGCCTTCTCTTTCTTGGATTAGGCACTGTCACTTCTGCTACTGCAGCTGATGTTGCTTTAGCTCTATTGACAGCCTCAGATAAGCTGTTCAGGATGAGCTCAAAGCCACATATAGCTGCCAGCCTGGCAGTGACCTTGTTCTCATCCCCTTCTATGCAGTTTTCCTGCTTCCTAATCACACTGCCTTCCAATCCATTATTCTCCCTGACCTTTAGAGACTCGCCACAATGGGCCCACAGTTGAAAAAACTGCTCATAGCCTTGCCCTTCCACTTGCCCCATTTCTGGGGAACCTGGAATCCAGGTAATGTAGTCATAGGTTCGTTTGGAAGCCACAGGCCCATGTTTACAATAATAGTTGCCCTGCAGGTGAGATAAGTTGCTTAAGTCTATCCACAGAGTCTGCATCACCTCCTTGGTGCTCCCAAGTCTCCTTACTCAGTATTTCTCCCAAGTTAAACCAGCCCTTCAGATTCACCTCAAGATACAAAAGTCTGGCCTGAAATATTATTACTCATTATCAAAGATATTATTACTCATCATCAAATTTCTTGATTGATAATTACACCAATTTCTATTTATACCATGTTTAGGCAGCCATGTCCACTGTGGGCTCTTGGAGCTTCCCAGCTGCCTCCCATGGGAGGCCAAGCAGGGATTCTCAGCCCCATGGTACAGCTGAGAACATGAGAGGAACAGCAACTTTCCTCCCCAAATATAAATGTAACTTCCTTACAGGAAAGAAACTGTATATACATCTTTTCTCTCTATCTCCCTAGCCCCAGCACAGGCCTGGGCACATTGTAGGTGCTCATTAAGAAACAATGAATGAATGATTCCATGAGGCAGATGATATCATCCCATTTTTATGGTAGAGAAGAAGACACAAAAGGGAGGTTGACCAAAATCCCATGAGCAGCACATGATGGAGCTGGACTCACACCCAGGTCTGAAACTCCAATGTCTGTGACCTTCCCACTATACCTTGTGCCTCCCTGTATTTTACTTGGACAAACGGGGTGCGTGGAGAAAGTCAAGTCAACTAATTTGGGCCCTAAAGATTGACCCACACCTCCTAGGTCTGATGGATACTAGCTCTGTATGCTTTATTTCTGAGGTACAGGTTATGCCCAGTTCTGTCTGGTTGATAGAAACAAGGACCCGAGGAAGGAGATGGGGAGGAGGAAAAACTGTGTCAGGACAGGGCAGAAAACCTTTCCTTGGTGGCTGAGGTAGATAGCTCTAGTTTCCAGAAAGGTTTAAACCTACCTGGTCTGATTCTGGGAAAAATGAGTCAGGGACAGGTATCAGGACCAGGAAACAATGTTGGTGATATTCCAAACCCTCTTGTCACAGTTTGCAATTTACTCTTCTGGAGATTAAAACTGGATCCTCCAGGACCTTGTGACTCAAAGTGTGGTCCCTGGACCAGCAGCTTTGGCCTTACCTGGCCCCATGCCAACCCTCTGGAGCCAGAATCTGCATTTCAATAAGATGCCTAAGTGATCTGAGCACACAGTAAAGTTTGAGAAGTGCCTCCCCAGGAAGGCTAAATCAAACTAGGCTTGGCTGAACTCCAGCTGTGTGACGTGGAGGCATTGTCTCTTCTCAGTCTTGGAGACCACAGATGCCAGTTTCTCTGCCATAGGTCTCTTTCTTTAACTGATGCCTGCTGTTCTCACAAAGGGATGTCTCACAAAGAGGTACTTTGTGCTCATGTTTGCTCTCCTGTCCCCTGGGCTGTTTTAAAACAAATTTTATTATGGAAAATTTCAAATATACGTAAGAAAGAACAGTATAATGAACCTATCATAACATTATCCTATTATAATATTTCAAATTGCTTCAAAATCACCAGGTAAGGACAGATGCTGCCAGTTAAAAGAGCATGGTATAAGTTGAAAGCAGCTTTTAAGCTTTTGTGTGCATTTATGTCACTGTGTAGTAGGCTTCAGGTAGGGCCCTGGAATATGCATTTTCAATAAGCAAGTGGTTCTGTCACTGGAGATCTGAGGACCACACTGGGGGAAAGTACTACTGGGTCAACTTGGCTGAAGATTAATCAGAATAATCTCTATGTTTACAAAGACATGGAAAAGCCAGCAAGGCTAATACTGTCCTATACATTATCCATCCTGTTTTTACAGAGCTCTGACTGTGACATGGGCTGGACTGAGTTCTGAGTGACAGTAATGTATCAGACAGCATCTCTCCCATTCTGTGGGGAGATGGATGAAGAAATGGCACCTGTTCCATTCTGTCACACAAGCTTTCCTGCCTTCCACAATCTCTGGATTTGAGACTTGGGCCAAATTCATGAGTTCAGTCCCCATGAAAATCAGAGAAGAGATGTGTCTGACCATTTTGTAAAGTAAGGGGTTTAGACCACGATATACATGTTTCCTGGAGGGACATGTCTGCCTCTTGTAAGGAAGAACTATCTCTAGCTTTGACTTTCCTAGCAAGGATGATTTCTCATGAGCTTTAATTCTTTTTTTTTGAGAGAGAGAGAATTTTAATGTTTATTTTTTATTTTTTTTGGCAGACACAACATCTTTGTTTGTATGTGGTGCTGAGGATCGAACCCAGGCCGCACGCATGCCAGGCGAGCGCGCTACCGCTTGAGCCACATGCCCAGCCCGGATGATTTCCCATGAAATGATGATGATGGGTGATGGGCAGGTAGGAGCTATAGAAAGGATTCTCACCCAGGAAAGAGTTGGCCTATGTCAGTGGTTCTCTCAGTTGGGGTCCCCAGATCAGCAGTATCAGCATCACTCCTACGAAATACAAATTCTCAGGCCTGTCCCAGATCTATTAAGGCAGTCTGCTTTAACCAGCCCTCCAGGTGCTTCTGATAATTTACGACAGCCTGAGAACTACTGACCCACATGAACCATATCTCTTTGAGTCTTAGGATATATCTTTTTCTTTTTGGTGCTGGGAAAGAACCCAAGAGTATTGTACCACTGAGCTACATCCCCAGCACTTTAAATTTTTTCGTTTTGAGATGGGGTGGGGGAGTCTTGTTAAACTGCTGAGGTTGGCCTCAAACTTGTGATACTTCTACCTCAGCCTCTCAAGTCACTGGGATTACAGACGTGTGCCATTGTGTCCAACTGTCTTAGGATGTATAGCAGTCATTACTAAAGACTGTACAAATAACTGGATAGCATTATTTCACCAATTTCAGGTCCAAATTCCTTATAAATGTGCTCAAGTCAATTGCTCTCCCTTGATTTCCCTATTTATCTTAAAAGGTTAGAACTCTCTCTTGCCAGACCCCATCTCTCCAGGTTTTCTGGGTTTTTTTGTGTGTGTGTGTGTCCTGGATGAAAGCAAACCATGAAGTGAGTGGTGGGTAAATCCAGGGTGGCGATAGGGAGATGGTGGGTGCTTGATGAATAGCAGTTCTTTTCTTCCAGCCCACTTCCAACCTTGTATGGGGAGAGGGAAAAGAGAAGATGGGAATAACAAGAGGAAAAAACATCTTTCTGTACCTGATGCATGTGCTTCTTCAATGTAAATGATGAGAAAATCTGCTATGGGACTAAAGTCTTCAATAAGTCTCTTGAATTGGTCAAATTTGAAAAGAAATGAAGGTCAGGTGCAACTTCCAAAATTCAGCACCAGTGGTCTGTTGCCTAAAATGGAAAAACAACCATTATAAGCCAAGAATCTGCACAATTTATTGATTTATTTTTGGCAAGCATCATCTTCACTCCTGCTTTTAATTCTGTTACCTTTGTTTTCTCTCCAGAATGAGCAGTGAGCACAGGCAGGGGCCTAACCCTAGAGAGCATGACTTAGCAGGGGATGGAGCTGGTTTCCGCCTTTCTAAAGTGAGAGGTTTACGTTAGGTGATCTCAGTGGTCCACCTGCAGATGATGGTGCTTAAAATAATTACAGGGGAGTAATGCAGTTTATGAGGCAAACAGGCCTCCATTCTCTAGGTGATGGGATTAATAATACTGCAAAGTAGTAAAATTTCTCCATTTTACAGACCAAAGAATCTGAGGTTTATAGACCTCTAGGACCAACTCACAGCAGGTCAGTGGTGAAGTTAGAATGAACAGTTTGGCTTCTGGACTTTGAAGGCAGTGCCCTTTCCAATCAAAGTGCCTCAGTTTCCCCGTCCATAAGTAGACATAATTATAATACATACATATTTTATAGGATTGTTATGAAAAATAAATAAATACTTATAAGGGTTTTAAATGGTGGCTGGTCCATAGTAGGGGCTCAATAAATGTAAGTGGTTGTTCTCTGCTCTTATCTCCTCCCTAAGTTCTAAAATGCGGAGGCCATGAAGAGGAGGGAGTAGAATCTGCTACAAAATGAAAATGCAGGGGCTCTTGTTCAAAAAGGACGGGAAGTGTCATCACATTTATTAAAATAAAGATTTTTATTTTCTTCTAAAATTTCTATCTTGACCTAGCATGCTGCTTTTTAGTTGCTATTTAATATCACACTCCCCCACAAGAAACAGGGGTGTTCATAGAGTGAGTGCAGGTTCTCAAGTCACCCAGCTGCCTGCAACGCAGTGTGCACGTGTGCTATGGCATCCTGGCTGCCCTCTCCCCTCAGACACCAGAACAAGGCACTGTGCCCTGGCCCGGAGCAGGGAAGGCAAGTCAGGCCTTTCCCACCTGATTACCACCCTGACCCAAAATATATTTCACCCTGTCAGGGGAATGCTAGGCACTTAAATAGAAAAGGGAGGTAAGAGGTTTCTCCCTCCAAATCACCCCCATCACTTGCCAAATTGCACTGTGGTGCTGGTAGCCAGGATGGGACAGCCCTTCACATGCTCTGCCCAAAGACACTGGGGAATGCCAACACCTGACCCTGACCTTTCCCCTGCTGTGCCCAGGTGATTCTCTATGGGGCTAGAAGGTAACAACAGTCACTGGCTGGGAACAGGAAGAAGGGACATATGGGGGTGGAAGAATGGGCCCACGAGAGCATGTCCCCAGCTGAGCTGCAAGGTCTGAAGAGCAAGGCTGTATGTTCTCGGGGCAGCCTCCATTGTCCCATTGGGCTTCACTTACAAAATGCAAGTTCCAAGATAAACTTGTTAAGAATTTCAAGACAGCTACTACAGAGTGTTAATCTCAAGGATGAGGTCCTTCTGAGTGTGAGACCGTGTGTGATTCACTGGTCCCATGCCCACAAAATTAGTTCTGGGTGGGGGCCTTCTGGTGTTCCCCCAGCTTAGAGTTGGGGCAGCTTTGGGGAGAACCCCGAGGATCGTTATGGCCGGAGCTGAAACATTGTTAAGGCCTCGTCAGACATCTTCTGGAGTAAGTGCTGCCCTGCACTATGACATGGCCTATTTAAGTGTTCTCATCCCCCAGGCTACGCGTTACCCCTTAGAGCAGGGCCTCATTCAAACTTGTATCCCCAGTCTCCAGCACACTCACATCCTACCTACAAACATTTATTCAGAATTTATACTATTTAAGCCCCGCTGCCAACTGTTGGTTCAGTGGAGAGTGAGATTAGCAGGGCTGGGTTGTGGCTCAGCAGTAAAGTGCTTGCCTGGCATGTGTAAGGCCCTGGTTTCGAATCTCAGCACCACATATAAATAAATAAAATAAAGACCCATCAACAACTTTAAAAAAAATCATTCTTAAAGAAAAAAAAAAGAGAGAGAGAGAGTGAGGTTAGTAGGTCTCTGCCGTCTACAGTTTGAGTTTTATTGAATGGGAAGACAGGCCAAAAGACAAGTTCAATACAGAAATGAAGTCATTTCAAATTGTGCTCAGTGTTATGAATGAGACTTAACAGAATCAGGTGGGTGAGGAAAGGCCTCTGAGGAGCTGCCATTGAACCTGAGAAGTAAAGGACAAGAAAAAACAACCATGGGTAAAAGAGAAGAGCATTCCAGGCTCAGCTACTCAATGTGCAAAGCTCCCCTGGAGGGAGAGAGGGCTTAGTTTGTTCAAGGATCCACAAGATCACTGGCTGGTACCAGGCAGGAAGCAATAAGGGGAGGTGGTTGGGGAGTTTGGTGTAGGCCAGAGCAGAAGAGTCTTAAGGGCCTTGGTGCAAAATCTGAATTTTATTCTGGGTACAATAGGAAGACACGGAGATATTTTTGCAAGTGTTGTGGATATTATTGCAGCTTTGGCTGTCCAGCCCCAAACCTCCTTTCTACTTGAAATTCTCTATTTTGTGTACAATTGATGGGTGTCTGTGCCCAGCCTTGCTCTGTGGAAGACAGAGAGGACAGTTCTACTGTCTGCCCCCAGCAGCCAGGGAGCAGGCAGTGACCTTCCCTACCCCTGGTGAGTGGATTTGATCCTCCCACATAGATCATTGATGTTGGAGGCTTGAGATGGCAGAATTCATTCATAGCCCAGTGGTGGTGCTCCTGTCAGGGATGGTGATGGGTTTGCCCAGCAACCATAGTGACAGCTGGATCCAGGTGTGACCATTGATGTTGAAAGACAGCCTATACTTAGGGCTCCAGCTATTATTGATTCCAGGGAGACCCCAACATCTTTCCAATATGTTCCTTGATGGGTGGACGTGGATGTGACCAGTAAAACTAGAGTGAGTTTCTGTTGCTTGCAAGCCAGAGTCCTGACCGCTTCAGTAGATCTGTGCAGTGATCAGATTCACACTTGAATATCACTGGCTACTCTGTGGAGAAAGGACTGAGAATGACCATGGAAGTGGGGAAGAAGCAATTAGGGAACCTTGCGGAAGTCCACTTGAGAGACAGTAGGAACCAGGGGTGGTGTGTGGGCCAAGGTGAAGGGGAGAAAGTGGAATTGACCTGGCTTGCTGATGGATGGAGACAGAGGGCATCTTAACCTGCTTGAGTTTATTTGGTCAGTTATATACCCCCCTTGTTCTGCAAAGGATTTGAAGCATTTTACATATATAATAAAATATTAAGTTGAAACTAAAGGAAAAAAACATGGTTTTCTGGAAGGCATAGAACAGGAGGGAAAAATGGATAAATTAGCAGGCTCAAAGTTCCTGTGCATTTATTGTGACTGAGCTATATAAATAACTCTGAGTCTCTTGGTAGCCAAGTAAAAGGAGAAACCCAATCAGTTTTTTTTTTAAACTTTTTTATTTCATTATATATGGTGCTGAGAATAGAACCCAGTGTCTCCCACATGCTAGGAAGTGCTCTACCACTGAGCTACAACCCCAGCCCCCAATTAGTTTCTTATTTCTAATTTTTCAGTCTACAGTATGAGGAGAAGGTAGGTCAGTTTCTCTGAAGATACAAAGTTTTCCTTGTCTTTGACTCACAGGATTTCTTCATAGGAGGTCCCAGGAGGCATGAAGTGGGCCTCAGTCCTCCTGGTTGATTGCATGGTGACTCCTCACCCACATGACAGGGAGGCCCAGGCATTAGCAGGGAGGCTCTGAGCGGTCATTGGACTCCATTGATCCCAGGGAGTCACTCTTCAGATAAAAAAAGTGACTTAGGGTCAGGGCTGACTCTAAATATTAGCTGTCTGGATTTTTTTTTTTAATTGGCAAAATATTCAACACCCACTCATCAGGACCCTGGAAGGAACAGAGCCATTTGTTTAATTATTTATAGTGGTTGGGTACAGTGGCCAGTATTGAGGGCAAAGTTTAAACTTAGTTCCCTGCTTTCCTGATAGCCAAGAAAGGAAGGATGGGTATCAGAGCGTGGCTGTGTTTAGGGCTGGGCCTCTGCCCATGACTGCAGGCCCCAGTACAGAGAATGCCATTTTAAGAATATCAGGAAAGGATGGTCAAGTTCAACTGGGAAAACTGCTTCATAGTAGAACTGGACTTGGGCCCACTCTCATGATTGATGGGCCAGTAAATTAGCCCCCACATCAGGCTCTCTCAGCAGAGAAATCCCATTTGTCCTTACTAGGAGACTCTTCACCAGTACATTTGTATATTTTGGAGAATTTTAAACAGGAGATGAAATAAAGCCAGTTTCATCTAAACTCTCAGATGCCCAGAAAACAAAAGGTGCTAAGCACCTTGCTTTTGCTGAAGCTGGCTTTGAACTCATCCATTACTTGCCTTCTGCCACAACATGTCAGTTTATTGAGGTTTTGCTCTCTCTGTGTGTGTGTGTGTGTGTGTGTGTGTGTGTGTGAACACTGTGTATATGTGTGCTTGTGCATGGATGTGCAGAGGATGAGAGATGGCTGAGAATTTCTCTGATGCCCTTTTGTCTTATTCATTAACAGAAAATATACCAGCTAGTTCTGGCTCTGCCAAGAACTTGCCGTGTGACTCTAAACAAGTCGTTTACCTCTCTGGCCCTTTGCATCTGAAAAGTGAAGGAGTTGCTTTAGGTGAACTATAAAGAATCTTCCAGTTGGGCTGGGGATGTGGCTCAAGCGGTAGTGTGCTCACCTGGCATGTGCGGGGCGCTGGGTTCGATCCTCAGCACCACATAAAAATAAAATAAAGATGTGTCCACCAAAAACTAAAATATATATATACATATATATAAAGAATCTTCCAGTTCTCCCAAATCTGTGGCTCTAAAATGAGTTCAGAGTTTATACCTAAAGCATACAACAGAGCATTTTAATGGCCTGGTAGTAGTCTGAAGCAGTCACAAGATGTTTTTCTAATAAGCAGAACTGATCATGTTTACTCTCAGAACTCACCAACACCCTCAGGATAACATCTACCTGCAGATAAGACATGAGGCCCTCCAAGCTCTGGCCCCTAATGATGGTTTCTGTTTATTTTTTCATCTTTTTTTTTTTTTTTTTACTACTGGGGATTAAACCCAGGGCTGCTCTACCACTGAGCATTTTTTTTAGTTTTTATTTCATTTTGAGACAGGTTCTCACTAATTGAATTTATAATCCTCCTGTCTCAGCCTCCTGAGTAGCTGGGATTACAGGGGTGCACCAACATACCCAGCCCCTTCCTGCTTCTTGCACCCCATTTCTGCCAAACTGAATGGTGCTCCTCTACCTCTCGGACTTCTGCTGTTTCTTCCCATCTATCCTGCCCTGCTCCCCAAGCCCCTTTTCCTCAACTGTACCAAGACTTTACATCCCCAGATGATAATGCTCACCATTTTTTCTCCAGTTAGCCTTCCCTTGACCATCTCCTTACCCCATCCACGAGAGGGCCCCTTCCCCAGAATCTCTGCTTCCCTTTCTCACTGGTCTGGATTATGAGGTTTTTCTAGGACAGAAGCCAGCAGTGTTTATTTCTATATGGCTAGTACCTATTATTTCAGGGGACTCCGGTTCACTGTGCTGAAAGTCAACTCTATTTTATAAATAAAGGGTTTTTATTTTTGCTTTTGTGCCTCTTAGTCTCCTTATCTTTCAGTCTCAGCTGCAGCAGCAGGGACCAATAACAAAGTTGAATACTTTCTTTTTTCCTTTTTTTTTTTTTTTTGTTTTTTGGTACTAGGTATTGAACTCAGGGGCATTAGACCACTGAGCCACATCCTCAGCCCTATTTTGTATTTTATTTAGAGACAGGGTCTCACTGAGTTGCTTAGTACCTTGCTTTTGCTGAAGCTGGCTTTGAACTCACGATTCTCCTGTCTCAGCTTCTCAAGCCCCTGGGATTACAGGCATGCACCACCATGCCTGGCTGACAAAGTTGAATACTTTCTAACTGAAAGTATACATTTAAATGATGCAACTCGGGCAGGGGTTGTGGCTCAGTGGTAGAGCACTTGCCTAGCACAGGAGAGGCACTGAATTCAATCCTCAACATTGCATATAAATAAATAAGTAAAATAAAGGTCTATTGATAACTAAAAATATACATATTTTAAAAAAATGATGGAACTCAATTCTGTGAATTGTTCCTGAGGCAAGCTGGCTTTCAGGAAACTGATCTTTGAAACTGATCTTTGGATAATTGGCATTCAGAAGATTGGCCTGTTCTTGCATAGTGTCTGGCACATAGTAGACACACAATAAAATTAGTTGTTACATTGCTTTTGTAATCAATGGTAGTTTGATAAATGTTTGCAAATAAATCAAGGTCATTTGTACACTCTTGTTTAAAATCATGAGCAAACAAAAGAAAGAAAGAAACTATTGCCCTTCCCTCTGCTTAAAACAGTCTTCCCTTCTCAAGCTACAAAAATCTTCCTCATTCTTCAAGGCCAAGTTCCAAAGCCATCTCCTCTAGGAAGCCACCTCAGTCCTGCAGGCCAAGGTCATACCTTCAGAGCCTCAGGGAGCGGGTAATCTGTGTTGGGAAAGTGGGGGTTGGCTGCTTGCAAGAAGTGCCATTGAGTGGAAGTGTGAAGGATGAAGAGCATTTCACCAGGTAGAGGTGGACAGAGGGCAACCCAGGCAGAACCGACTACAACGGTAAGAAGAGCATTCAAGGACTGAGAGGCCAGAGTGGGACAGAATGCCTGGCTTGTGACTGAAGTGCCAGGGAAGGTTGTGATGCCATTCAGAGCAACAGAACTCAAGGGAGTCCCTCACTTCCTGAGCAGACGAAGACTAGAAGCCCCAGAAGGAGCAGCTGGAGTAGGAGAGTTCAGCACCTTTCAACCTCTCTCTCTGTCCCCGCCCGCCAGCATTTCAAGCGCCCTAGCACACAGCAGCCTCCTGACCTTGTATGAAGTCCCAAATGTTGCACTTCTGTCCCGAGAGGCGAATCACAGGGCAGTTTGGGGCTAGACCCCCCAGCTCAGCCTTGTCCTCTAGTCGCTGCCAACGGACCTTCAAGACGAACCAGAAATACTGGATGCTGAAGAAGGTCGGGACCCAGTTGTCAGGGGAGAATTGGGGGTTTCTGGTCATACCAGTCTTCTGGCCCATGGCCAAGATATTCTGCGTGGCTCTTTCTGGAAACAGTGTCATTAACACTTTGCCCATGGCCACCTCCACAACCACCAACAAGAGAATCCATAATTTCTTTAGCCATAGGCCTGGCCGGAGCAGCCCCATCTCGTCACAGCCAGAGTTGGCTCTGAGGCTGATGGACCTAGAGGCTGCAGCCAGATGACACTGGGCGGAGCTGGACAAAGGTACAGAGTCAGAGCAGCCAACTCCAGGCAAGAGGAAGGTGCCGTGGCAGAAGGTATTTGCTCTCCCGTCAATAAAGTGGAAAATTCCCAGCCAGGTATACAAAGGTCTGTTCTCATTCTTATTGTTTCAGATTCTTTGCCTTAGATTTTGAGAGATTCGTGGATTTTAAATTCTCCCTTTGATTAATTAAAAAAAAAAAAATATATATATATATATATATATATATATATATATATATTAGTTATAGATGGAGACAATGCCTTTACTTTATTTTTATGTGGTGCTGAGGATTGAACCCAGTGTCTCACAAGAGCTCTAGTGTTGAGCTACACCTGCAGCCCCTTCCTTTGATTAACTTTTTAAAACAAATACTTAAAAAGATCCACACTTACATCTTCCCCACTAAAAGATCTATTGCAAATGAATAACCTCTAATGTTAATTATTCTTTTTAACAATATAAATGGTTCTTTTACTAGTGAAAGGTGGTTTCCCACTCTTTGCAGAGGCAAAGTCCCTTCCCAGAGGTTTTGGATCTGGACCTCCCAGGCAGTGACATCTCTGGGGCCATCAGCAGTTAAGGGCCTGCAACTCCTCTTAGCACTGGGAGAAGAGAGACAGGTAAAACTCTCTGCTCTCAGGGAAGTCATAGTCTAGCGCAGGAAAGACAAGTAAACAGAATATTGCCATTTAGTATATTAAGTAGAGAGACAGGATGTGTAGGGACATAGGGGTACGGAGAAGTGGCAGCTTATTCTGTATAGAGAGGTCACGAGGCTTCCATGAGGAACTGATGTCTATGCTGCAATCAGAAAGACAGTGAGCTGTCAGCCAGGCAAGGTGGAGGGAACTGCATGGTCAAGGCCTCACAGCTAGAGCAAGCATGACTCAGAGAGGCTCAGAGTTGGAGAGTGTTTAAAAACACATCTAGAGGGCCAGGCGTGGTGGTGCACACCTGTAATCCAAGCAGCCTGGGAGGCTGAAGCAGGAGGATCGAGAGTTCAAAGCCAGCCTCAGCAAAAGAGAGGTACTAAGCTACTCAGTGAGACCCTGTCTCTAAATAAAATACAAAACAGTGTTGGGGATGTGGCTCAGTGGTCCAGTGTCTCTGAGTTCAATCCCTGGTCTCCCCACCCCCCCCCCAAAATGCACATCAAGAAAGAATAAGTGGCCTGACTAAAGCCTGTTCCGGTATTACATAATCGCTATGGTCTTCATTCACAAAGCTTTAGTTAGTCTCTGGCATTTACATACCTAAATACTCTCTGATAGTAAGAGTGGTGCTGGGGATTGAACACAGGGTCTTATGCATGAAAGGCAGGCACTCTACCAACTGAGCTATATCCCCAGCCCCCCTCATTTCTTTTTAATGCTGAATAATATTCCATTGTCTGGATGTACCACAGTTTATCTGTTTATCTGTTCATCTGTTTATCTGTTCATCTATTCTACTGAAGGGCGCCTTGGTTGCTCCCAATATTTATCAGTTATGAATAAAGCTTCTTATAAACATCATGTGCAGATTTGGGGGTGGATATCAGTTTTCAACTCATTCGGATACACCAAGGAATATGAATTATATGGTAAGAGTATGTTTATTGTTATAAGTAACTGCCTTGCTGTTTTTTTTTTTCTCTTTTGATACCAGGGCTTAAATCCAGGGGTGCTTTACCACTGAGCCAATTTTTAACATTTTATTTAGAGACATGGTTTCACTGAGTTGTCTGGGGCCTCGATAAATTTCAACTTGCAATCCTCCTGCCTCAGCCTCCTGCACTGCTGGGATTACAGGCATGTGCCACAACGCCTGGCTAGAGTGGCTGGATTCTTATGTATTCCCCCCAACAATGAATTAGAGTTTCTTTTTTCTTTTTTTTTTTTTAGAGAGAGAGAGAGAGAGAGAGAGAGAGAATTTTTTAATATTTATTTTTTTTTAGTTCTCAGCGGACACAACATCTTTGTTTGTATGTGGTGCTGAGGATCGAACCCAGGCCGCACGCATGCCAGGCGGGTGCGCTACCACTTGAGCCACATCCCCAGCCCCGAATTAGAGTTCTTAAAAAAAAAATATATATATATATATATATATATATATATATATATTAGTTGTAGATGGACACAATATCTTCAATATCTTTATCTTATTTATTTATTTTTATGTGGTGCTGAGGATCAAACCCAGTGCCTCAAGTGTGGGAGGCAAGTACTCTACTACTGAATTATGAGTTTCTATAGTTGCACATCTTTGCCAATATTTATAATTAATAATTAATTTTAACCTGTAATTCACTGATGACATTGAGTATTGCATGCACATGTGTGTGTGTGTGTGTGTGTGTGTGTTTTGCTGAGGATCAAATCCAGGGCCTCCTGCATGCTAGGCAAGTTCTCCATCACTGAGCTACATCTCCAGCCCTTTTTCTTTTCTTTTTTTTTAATATTTATTTATTTATTTTTTTAGTTTTCAGCGGACACAACATCTTTGTTTGTATGTGGTGCTGAGGATCAAACCCTGGCCGCACGCATGCCAGGTGAGCGCGATACCACCTAAGCCACATCCCAGCCCCCCTTTTTCAATTTTTATTTTGAGATAGAGTCTCATTAAGTTGCCCAGCCTGGTCTCAAACATGCAAACCTCCTGCCTCAGGCTCCCAAGTAGCTGAAATTACAGGTATGTATACCATGCTTGGGCAAACATCTTTTGATATCTAGATACTTCTTGACTTATGATGGGGTTATATCCTGATAAACCTAGTGTAAGCTGAAAATATCATTAAGTTAAAAATGCATTTAATACACCTAGTCTACACCATAGTGTGGTTTCAACAAAAGGGCTGGGGATGTTGCTCAGTGGTAGAGTGCGCCTGGGTTCCATCTTCAGTACTGGGAAAGAAAAAAAGAAAAGTAAAAGCAAAAAAGTGAAAACCACAAGTGGAACCATTGTAAGTCCAGGATTATCTGTTCTTATTTGCCATCTGCATGTCTTTGATGAGGTATCTTTTGCCTATTTATTTTTAATTTGGTACAAGGGATTGAATCACATAGGAGAGTTTAAACACTGAGCCACATTCCAAGGCCCTTTATAAAATATATTTTATCTAGAGACAAGGTCTTGCTAAATTGCTTAGGGCTTGCTTAGTGCTGAGACTGGCCTCAATTTGTGATCCTCCTGCCTCAGCCTCTTGAGTTGCTGGGATTATAGGCATGCACCACCACGCCCAGTCTCTTTTGCCTATTTTAAACAAACTGTTTTCTTACTGTTGAGGTTTTTGTTTTGTCTTGTGGAGCTGGGGATTGAACCTAGGGCCTTCTGTGTGCAAGGCAAGCACTCTACCAACTGAGCTGAATCCCCAGTCCTTACTATTGAGTTTTAAGAATTCTTTTGGATAACATAGTCCTTTTCAGATATGTCTTTAGTGAATATTTTCTCCCAGTTTGTGGTTTGTCTTCTCACTTTTTTCACAGTTTCTTTCATAGAGAAGTTTTTTTTAATCTTTTTTTTTTTTAGATATTTTTTAGTTGTCAATGGACCTTTATTTTATTTATTTAAATGTGGTGCTGAGAATCGAATCCAGTGCCTCACATGTGCTAGGCAAGTGCTCTCCCACTGAGCCACCACCCAAGCACCCCCCCACACCTGTTTTTTTTTAACTTAATGTAGTTCAGTTCAGCTTATGAAACATTTTTTTTCATGAATTATGCCTCTGGTGTTGAATATAAAAAGCCATCACAAAAAAACCAAGATAACCTAGATTTTCTCCTATGTGGTTATTCTCTTGGAGTTTTATGATCTACATTTAGTCTGTGCTTCATTTTGAGTTAAGTGCCCCTGAGTTAATTTTTGTGAAGTGTGAGCTTTGTGTCTAGATTCTTCTCTTTTCTTTTTCTTTCTTTCTTTCTTTTTTTGCATATGAATGTCCAACTGTTCCAGCACAATTTATTGAAGGGACTACTTTTTCTCTGATGTATCACCTATGCTCCTTTGTCAAATATTTGTTGACTATTTTTAAGTGGGCCTACTTCTGATCACTCTATTCAGTCCCATTGTTATATTCATTTATTCTTTCACCAATACCACACTCTCTTGATTATTGTTGCTTTATAATAATTTTTAAAGTTGAGTAATGTTAGTCCCCTGATTTTGTTCATCTTTATTATTATTATTTTTTTTTTAAAGAGAGAGACTTTATTTATTTATTTATTTTTAGTTTTCGGCAGACACAACATCTTTGTTTGTATGTGGTGCTGAGGATCGAACCTGGACCGCATGCATGCCAGGTGAGCGCGCTACCGCTTGAGCCACATCCCCAGCCCTCATCTTAATTATTATGTTGGCTGTCCTGGAATTTTTTTTTTTTTTTTGCCTCTTCCTATAAAGTATTTTTTTTTTTAATTTTCTTTTTGGTATCAGGGATTGAGGCCAGGGGCACTTGACAGGGGCACTTAACCACTGAGCTACATCCCCAACCCTTTTTATTTTGTATTTTGAGACAGGGCCTCAATAAGTTGCTGAGGCTGACCTTGAATTTGTGATCCTCCCATTTCGATCTCCGGAATCCTCTGGGATTGCAGGCATGCACCACTGTGCCTAGCTTCACTATAAACTTCAGAATCAGTTGTGGATATCAACAAAGTAACTTGCTGGGATTTGGCTGGAATTGTGTTGATTATGGATCAATTTGGGAAGAACTGACATCATGAAAATATTATGTCCCATTATCCATGAACATGAAACATACCTTAATTTATTTAGTTATTGATTTTTTCATCAAATAACTAGTTTTCTAGTTTTCCTTACATAGATCTTGTTCATATTTTTTGAGATTTACACTTAAGTATTCTATTTTTTGAGATGCTAATTCAATGGTATTATACTTTTGAATTCAAAATCCACTTGTTCGTTGATTGTATATAGGAAAGCCTTGACTTTTGTGTATTGACTCTGTATCCTGCAATGTTGCTACCA